CTCTTGAATACGGCCACGCGTAGGGAATGTTTTGCCTCTCCAAATCTGTTGCTATCACCATAAATGTTGACGTTCCTCCATGTTGGCGCTGTCTCTCTTTTTAGAAGTAATAACAAGATCTCATATAATTGGTTGAATTTTCATGCACTGCATGGTGACTTTGGTGAAATACTGCATATCAAGAAGTGCATTGCCCCATTTTACAAATCAAGGTTTAACAGCAACAGCTGATTTTCAATTTCTTGTCAAAATGACAAGGAAAAAAATGGTTTTGAAGATGTCAGAATTAATTCTGCTGCGACCATCACAACATGGGGCTTAAACGAATCCTTGAGTAATTAGAGGACCTGCATCAGCAGAAGTTGTTAGTGGTCAGCAGTCTGCAATTGCAGCCAAAGCCGTTGAGACATATCAATATTTGTGTTTATTCTCATTCAAAGTTTGTTTGATCTGCAATTCACCACTGCCATTGTCAAATAAAGGGAATCAGGAGTGCCAGGAGAAGCATTTTAAAACAGGCGAGCTACCATAGTGATGTTTCTGCGCTTAACACAGTACAAAAGTGCATACCTGATTCTTTCTGTCAGGTCTCCCAATAAAGTGGGCAAGTATTTCCTTTTTACAAACTCAGTCTTGTATCTAATTTATTTATCTGTTTCATCCATGTTCGGGTCCGTTATGGCGGTTGGTCATCCTGGCATGCGTTGGTACATATGTATGTGTGTGCGAATCAAGCCTTCATATGTAGGGGAGATAAGGACATTCAGCAATCTAAGTCACGGAGCCTCAGGTGGCAACATGCGTCATCACAAATCGCCCAACTGAGGGGCACATGGGTGGAAATGTCGGATTTGGGAATGGACCAAGTGTGTGTGTGTGTGTGTGTGTGTGTGTGTGTGTGCCTTCAAAGACAGGCATTCCCTTTTTGGAGAATTGTATTAAAGGTGGGTCAAGGGAAAGGCGTCTTTGTCACTCTACCTCGCTACCCATGCGGTTAGGAGAAGTTGATGACCCAGAGCTCTGTCTAGAATAACTGGCTTGATGTATGCTGTATTAGACTATTTTTTAGGGATTAAACACTTTTCTATGTTACTGACTCGATAAACGTGTGCATGTGGTCATTCCTGAGAACCATCAACGAGCACCCCAGAAATCCACCAAGGTATTTGATTATTGGTCAAATAGTGTGGAAATTCCGCCTTCAACAGGCACAGGCAGAGCATGCAGGAAGACCGGGGCGTCGAATCGAGCCCTACACTGCTGGACTGTGAGGCGGATGTGACGGAAGGTCGGTCAGTCCAACACTGACGGACAACCTTTTTGCTGACGATTGACCAATACAATGACGGGAAACTTCAGAGAAAGATGCACTAATCACTGACAGAAGTGGATTTTCAGTATAATCAGCACGAAGCGGGTAATGTTTCAACGGACTTCTCAGTCTTTCACTGATGGCCGCCTGTTTTTTTTGGGGTTTTTTTTTGACAACTTACAGAAACACCCATTGCCTGTATTGTGTGTGTTTGTTTGCCGGGCTTAGAGAGGACTGTACTGACAATATACACTATGTGTGACTCACACAGTGTGAGAGTGAGTGCTGTTTTCAATAGGATCTCTGTGGGGACAGTGATGACCAGCTGTGATTGGCTTCACAGGCGGAAACAGCTGACATCACTCTGCTATGACACAAATGACACAAGTTTTCAATCTTTGTTTGAGTCTATTATTTAATGTCTGTGTATTTATGCATATAAAACTATGAATGTGTTATGAAAGAAGGAATTTCTTTGTCACTGCTGTAATGTACAAGAACACATTATTGTGCTTTTTTTTAACAATATCATGAGGTTTTTTTTCTAGATTATTGGCAGCTTTCCCACAATATTGTGATAGTATTATGGGGTTTGGATATTGTTACATTCCTAGTTGCAACACTGATATAGTGCACTCCATTTTCCATTTTATCACACTGTCACACTGTTTTTTTCCATCTATTGGACCATGATATTTTTTGGGGGTTGGGGCTGGACTGATGGGAGTTACTGGCAGACTAGATGGACTGGTGAAATTTACAGACGGAAGCGATGATGGAAGCACAGTTAAAATAACATTAGGACTGATCAATTGATGATTACAGTTTGGTGTGGCTTAAAAAAATGACGGACTGACAATGAGGGACGGTGGCCCAGACCGCTGACAGATCATGGACTGGCAATTTTTAGTAAGATGCCTACCACTGGGCACACATGCCGCCATTACATAGATTCAAATCGCTCAAGTAGTTTTGGGGTTAAAACAAATCTTAAGTCTCAAAGCCAAGGTGAATGTCAATTAAAATGTTGTTTCAAATAATCCCTGATCAATCTTGAGAGTACAGCCAACAATAAGAATGAGGCATTGTTATCATCATAAAGGCAGAACTTTTTACACAACCCTTTTGCACAATTCGATTGTGCTGGTTTCCCTCACGAAGTCTTGTGTAGTTTTAATTTTTTTTCAGGTGGTCACACTCAACAAGCAATGTCAAATAAGATTGGTCTCGAGACAAATCAATTTGAAATTCGGCATTTAAGAAGCGATTGTTATGTGTGTTAATAAAAATTGGCCATTGCGAATGATCAAGCAACATTTGTTTTTGCATAATTTGGAAAGGGACAGGATATAGGCTATAGGGTATATAATACAAAGTGTATATGGCTGCACAAGAACAACTTGTCTGTTTTGTAAAACCAGTTCGACAGGTTCTTTCTTATTGACACGTCAGTTTTAAATAGAAACAGAAAGTTGACATAATTTTGCAATTCATGAAATATGCAGAATTTAACAATTTGTTTTTGTTATTGACATTGTTGAAGCAGCTGTTTACATCTTCTTCAAAACTTACCTTTCCCTTCAGGTCAAGGATAAATAACGCCGACGCCGACATCTTCGTCGGGGTGTAAAATCCTTGGATGCTAGAACCGGTCTTATTATAAGCGTACGTACAGTCAAAAGTGGGTCACTTGTGAGCTACAATTTTAGCTCCCATCATCTTTCTTCCTCCTCTCTTTCAGCCTCTGCTTCTCTTGGTCGCGATTCCTTTCGCTTTAACTTGCGGCGCTTCCTGGCCCGGGTGTCAAGCTCACTGTTGTTATAAGAAAAGTAGTACAGCATTTCCGGTATGCAAATACAAAAGAGCCGTGCTGCAAACACAGACTTCTCGTTCTGAAAGTAATCAGTCGTGACCTAATTTGGCAACACAGAGAGAACCGCTGATGTAAATCTGGTATGTAAGTTCACTCTTAAATGTTACCTCAATGATTGATCAATATGAACTAGTCAGCAGGCAAAGAAAGCAAGTAAGCAAAGAAAGAAAGAAAAAAAGAAAGATGAAAAGAAGCCGGTATAAATCCCGACTGATTTGTCACCTGAGGAGAAAATACCTAAATGTTTTTTGGGGTTTTTTTTTTTGTGTTTGTGCATGGTGTAAAACAACTTGCCCCCACTTTGCAAACGCTGTCAAACGAGCAACAACAACAACAAAATAATTAGCTAACGATAACGTCTGAAAAAATACACCTTACTGTACTTCAATTTTCACTCATGTATATTTAAATGCAAATAGATAACACAAGCGCAATGATCAGGAATTTTTTTTTGAAGCCAACAACATCAAACAATTCTCTTGAATACGGCCACGCGTAGGGAATGTTTTGCCTCTCCAAATCTGTTGCTATCACCATAAATGTTGACGTTCCTCCATGTTGGCGCTGTCTCTCTTTTTAGAAGTAATAACAAGATCTCATATAATTGGTTGAATTTTCATGCACTGCATGGTGACTTTGGTGAAATACTGCATATCAAGAAGTGCATTGCCCCATTTTACAAATCAAGGTTTAACAGCAACAGCTGATTTTCAATTTGATGAAAATATGCAATGTTGAAAGATATTTACATTTCTCATGAAATATGACAATAATAAAAACGCATCAACAGCATACAGTCCAGATCACCAATATATTGAATTTGTGGAAGTTTCTTCAGAATTTAAGCCATTGGGCACTTTCAACACATTGCAAAATTACCGTACAATAAAATAGGAATATCATTTTTCTAATAATGTAGTGAATGTGTCATCTCTGCTGCTCATTTAACAGTAAATCAACAAACTATCTTGACTGGTTAAAAATAAAACTATGTGACCTTAACTAATACATTTTCATGACTTAGTCAATTTTCTTGTATTTTTATTTTAAATGCACACTTCCTAACTCCTCGTTGTAAATTTGAAATTCAGTGTGTTTCCCGTGGCTTGGGTGCCAGCAACACAAGACCTTGGCCTCTCACTCGCCATCAGCGGGATGGTCACAGAAGAGCCAGAACACCTCTTGGGCTTTTTATGAGAAGACCGACAGAGTAACTATTGTTTGTCCTTATTTGTCTCAAAGCCAAGGTGAATGGTCATGTCAGAATCCTAAAATGTATGTAACACTCACAAGCTTTTGTTTGTTTTTTTCAAAAGTTATTTTAATGATGTGTTACATGTTGGTTTTGAAAAGGAAAAGAGACAATGAAATAATTTTACCATGAAGTCACAATTGTAACTAAATAAATTAAATGCTGTTGCAATAATTTTCCATTGGGAAACACAGGCTGTCTGGAAGCTTAAAAGGAGAAAGATCGCTTGCTTGAGCACGGCTTTGTATATTTTCTCATCCTGATAGGCTTTTTTTTAACATATACTGTACATTAATACATTAGACACTTTTAATATTTACTGCATTTTTAGTCAAGCAAAAGAGGTACCCTTGAAAATGGCCGGTGATGCAAAATCAATGAAGCAACTGTGACACGCTGAAAGGGTTAAGTTATTAAAAGTCTTCCTTCTCTGAAAATGTTGAATAAATGGGGCATGTTCCTCTGGGTTTGTATTTAAAATCCCGAAAATGATTTCATAGGTCTGCACACCTGAATGATAGTTATTATCTATGTAAATCAGCATGTATTGTATTGTATTGTATCATTCTGTCCCGAAAATGAAAGCGCAATAAACCGCTTGATAATTTCTGAATGCTTCAGTTATTAACTACCCAGTTGGTCATTAAAGTATGCAAAAAATAAAAAGTGAAAAAGTGGGATTGGACATGGGGGTTCACTTGGGGGCGCAGGTGTTTGTGCAGCAAATGAGGTCAAACATCGCTCGATTTCTAAGTAATGGTAAATTCACTTTCATCCAGTTCTTCCTCTGTGTCCTCCATATCATCCATGTTCTCTGCTGCTCTTTCAGCTCTCACTCTTTCACTTGTTGGGATGTAGTTGTCCTCAATGAAGCCATCGTCATCTTCAGCACTCACAGGATGATGACGGTTCATTTCACATTCTCCATGCATGTCAAAGCCTACCTCCAGACCTAGACACCATCATGAACATGTTTTTAGTTATGATAGACAAAGAAAACGGACTGGTATGTGTTGGAGTACACAGTACGTATTTTATGATTGAAGATTGAAGATAACTCTTTTCTAAAAGGCTTTTTTTAAGCCAAAGTGGGGACTGAACCCACACTGCCTAGACCAAAATCAGGCATTTGTACCACTGCAACATTTACTTCATTGTCTTTTTTTCTATCTATCCATTTCTAATTTATCCTCACTAGGGTCACAGGTGAGCTGGAGTCTATCTCAGCTGACTGTGTGACTTTGTCTGGGAGGTAGAGTACAACCTAAACTGCTCCAGCTAACCACAGCATATTCTATTGTACAATATACATATTATATGATGTTGCAAGTGGTGACATGGTGATTTTTCTTTTTTTTTGTTTGTTTGTTTGTTATAAATTATCACATGGTTGTTTGATTTCTCAGAAAAAAAAAATCTAGAAAAGATTGTGCTGGCCAGCACAAAAACAACCCCCCGCCCAAAAAAAAAAATCACTCAATCAATCAATTAATCAAATTTGGATTATATTATCCATCCATTAGAAAATGAATGGATGGTTATATTATAAGTAATTACTGTCGTTCAGTAGTCTCAAGAAAAGACAAACTGCCTTTTGTTTGTTTACTCTCAGTGCAGATTCATTTCTTGACTACCAAAACACCAACAAAATTGAATCATGAAGTTAAGTGGGTCGAGGACCAACCTGACTGCTCACACTGGCTGAGTGTCTCTGTCTCCCTCAACCGAGTGTGCCGATACCTTGCCAGGTAGCGCCGAACCGCTTGACACTTAGCCACGAGAGCCATTAGAATGGACATGGAGATGGCGGTGGCCAGGACAGCTACCAGGAACTCCCACCTGTGAGAGCTGGTATTTCTTGTGTCTGAGAAAGCAGAATCACATCTTTGCCATCAATGACAGTAGAGAGAAGTATACAGTTTGGTTCTAGAATGAGCCTAAATCAAAATTGCTTTATAAATTTAGCAGATTTCCCTTACCATTTGGAACTAGTGTAGCTGTGGGTAGTGTGCTTATATTTGCCAATGCTTCCATCTGTCTTTTGTTTTTCTTGGTTCTCTTGGGAAGTGTCCTTTCCTGTGTGACTCAATTTGCAGTTTCTTGAGCAAGACTTGCAGCTTTTAATCAGGGGTTATATAGGTTTATCCCATGTATCTTCATGTTCCATTTGCCAGTTCCTTAATCTAGTCCAGTTTACAATAGCAATTATGGATCTGTTGCTGTAATTGCAGATTTTAACAGGTCATACTCTCTTCCCTGGAATGCTGCATCTCATGAGGTCCTTCTCTCTTGACCGGCAATTGTGTTGTATCCACAGAATGCCACTAGAGGGCAAGGTTGAATGTCAGAAAACTCTTCAGGGTCGTCATAGAAAATGCCCCACACCTGAGTGGATAGTCCTCATGTCAGTAAGATTGAGAGAGAAAAGATACATACACATACAATACATGGACATAAACCATTATTATCCTCTTCATTGTATAATTTTACAATGGCATTCTGTAAAGATACATTTTCTTATAATCCTAGTGAATTATTTGTGACAGTTAATACATATTTTATTGTTCTGTCATGCAAAGACAACAAACAATTATTCTAAATGTCTCACGTGTAATTGTGTCATCATGAAATGGAGACATTGCTTGGATTTCTGGAATCCAGAAATCCTAATTGATTTTGAGCTGTCAGGGGCTCCCCGAAGAAAAGAACCACAACAGGAGAAGTGTGTCGCAAAGTGGAAGTCTCTTAGACTGTGGAACCCTCCTCCTAAGGTCTTGCTGACACTAAATACACATTGTGTTGGTGTGAACAGATTCATTTTGGGGGGGATTCCTGCAACACGGTAGATCAGAATGGTAAGAATTGTGTTTTTAATGTTACAGGTATCTTGATAGTGTCTAAACACCATCAAATACACTACCAAGAGCTAAACAATTATGTACACCTAAGGCTACTCAAAAAGAATACAGAGATTAGAGTGTTAGGTTTAGTCACTGTCAAGGAAGTAACATAATTTCAAGACTATTGAGCGTACCTGAATATGAGGTGCACCCAATATTTTTTAAAAAAGAAAGAAAATTCAGAAGCCGCAGGTGTCCATATATCCCAGGTGTCCACTTTGTTACATGAGTAGTTACACAGAAAGATGTCCTGTACCCAAATCACTGTTATTTTCTCTGTATTCATGTAGTATATGGTCTTCCAAGTTGCTTGTATCCATGTCCAAAAAGTAAAGTATTGTCCGCATAGTTATTTGATAGATGGGGATTTCTTGTACAGTTCCGTCTGTAATGTTATTTTCGTTTTTTTAAGACAAAACACAGACAAAGGAAATATATTTGTAACATTAATGACCCCCACCAAAAAGAAAATTGGTACGCATTGTTACAGTGTAAAACTGCATGTACTGTTTGCTCACGTTGTAAGCCAAGCCCATCGTTCTCATTTATTGTAACGAAAAAGTTACATCAAACATTTACATTCTAGCAGTTAATGATGTAATCAAAATCAAATAAACAGGTCCAATTGTCAGCTGCATTCATTTTTAACTGTGGCAAATCAGTTAATTGCTCTGTTGTGAATAGCAAAGGTGTGTCAAACATATGGCCCGCGGGCCGGAACCGGCCCCCAAGGAGGTTCAATCAGACCCGCAGGATCATTTAAAAGTGAAAAAATGCATAAAAGACACGGAATGAATATTGTGAATAGGGTGCAATTCATTAATTAACACTGTTTTGATCAGAGTATAAGACAACATTGTTTGGGTGCAATTCATGGAGTATCCGCAAAACACTGTTTTGATCAGAGTAGAAGACAACATTGTTTTGATCAGAGAAGAAGACAACAGCAGTCTCAATGTGCCACTGAGACAGGCCCAACACAGCAGATGCGAATCAAGGCCATGTGAATACTTTATTCTTTACACATTTAATAGTGGCCCAACACAGCAGACGCGAATCAAGGACATGTGAATACTTTATTCTTTACACATTTAATAGTGTTCTCTTTAGTTTGTAAGGTGTAGGCAGGGATTAAATTTAGATTTATATGCACATGTGTAAATGGTTTAAAAATTCCTTTCTTTATAAATCTCGTTTAATCTTAAAATGCATTACTACTGTTTATTTTTCAATACCAATTACTTGTTAGAGTTTTGTGCCTTTGTACAATCAGTGGGATCAGTTGCAATGCATATATGTGAATGATAAAAGTAAATTGCACATTTGTCGAAGGAAATCTAAGGTGCTTCATGAAATGTTTTGTAAAAGATATGTTCATTAAATTTCAACATTTTCCTAATGTTCTTGTGCTTCTTTAGACCAAACCAAAGGAAAGACATACAGTATTCATTCATTCATTTTCCAATCCGCTTATCCTCACAGTACTCATTCATTCATTTTCCAATCCGCTTCTTCTCACAAGGGTTGCGGGGGGTGTTGGAGCCTATCCCAGCTGTCTTCGGGCAGTAGGCAGGGGACACCCTGAACCAGTTGCCAGCCAATCGCAGGGCACACAGAGACGAACAACCCTCTGCGCTCACACTCACACCGAGGGACAATTTTGAGTGTTCAGTCAGCCTGCCAAGCGTGTTTTTGGAATGTGGGAGGAAACTGGAGTACCCGGAGAAAACCCACGCAAGCACGGGGAGAACATGCAAACTCCACACAGGCCCGGGGAAAACGAAAGACATATTATTTTGGTTATTTATAGCAGAGTATGGTATAATTTTAATGGTCCGCCCCACTTGACATCTACCGAGGCCGTATGTGGCCCACAATGTGAAATGAGTTTGACACCCCTGCCATGGAGGCTAATCACATGACTTTGGCAGACATCATAATAACTGTTTGCTCCAAAATACTTTTGATGAAGTTGCAGAGATTACTGTACATTTTGGCGCACATGTGCCAAAATGGTTGATGGAAAATATTACTCAATGACGTTTTAATTCCATGACAAAAGTAATATTAAAGTGGTAGTCGTGAAAATGTCTTGGACAGGCTAACTCATCCGGCCTGCTGGTTACCATGTTACGATGGAGGAGCTAGCAGGCTATCCCTATGCCTGCTCATAAGTCAATACTTAGCTAATTTCTGTCAACGAATCTCTCACAGCTTTACTATTTAAACACCACACTAACACTATCACCTACTAAATTTGTCACCTGGAAAAAAAGAATTCGCCGTTGACATCGCGTATCATCGTATTAAACTTACAAACGTTTGTATGTGCACACACGTATATATGCATGCGTACATGTGTGTATGAGACGGGAATTCAGGCTAACTTATCATTTGAACCTTTCACTCGTCGTAAACAATGGTCATGTGGAAACTTTTGATAAACTTAATGAAGCAAGCAAAATAAATTTCCCTCACAAGATTAAATTGTCTGTCTGTCTGTCTCTCTGCAGTGTGGTGCACAAGTGGTTAGCACATCTCCCTCACAGTTCTTTTGCTTTGGAGTTGATGCATAATTAACGCCCATCAGATCGAAAAGATCAGACAAAAAGATCAGACAAATGCTAGTACGTCAAAATATATATCATATTGATTTTGTTTTGTTTGTTTGAATTGTTTAAAGTCGTGGTCCCCCAACCACCAATCCGCGGACCATTTGGTACATGGTCTGACAGAGACAACCAAACTGATCATCAGCCATCTCTTCACCCCTTTGATTAGCTTACGAAGGGCAATATAAATAGGGCTTGGTGATTATATGATTGAAAATCGTGATCTGGGACTTTTTTTCCTTCTTCATTTTTGTGATGTCACATGAGAGGGTTTGTTCTAAAATCATGCCACATCATGCTAGTTCACAGGCTGTCTCTACCTCGCTACTTCCTCATATAAAAGCAAGCCCTCTGAGAATTGGGACAACCTGTCATTTTCATGAATGCACATAACCAAGGGCTAAATGGTGAGGGCTAAGGGGTACAATTGGGATTGGCCCTAACTGTATTGGTGGCATGAAGCTTGTTAGCCCGCAAAAATCCCTAAATTAACCGCATCATTTTTTTTCATCACAGGGTTCAAAGCATGTGAAAAAAATAGTAGTTAATTCTAAATATTTCCTATGGTCATATTTTGGAGTGCTCTGGAACCACAATTACATTTCTGAAATGTAGCTAAACCAGGATGCCAATAAAATCAAAACTGTTCGCAGTATGATGAAGAGAAGTTCTACAGCAATGGCTGGAATGTTTTGCTGCGCCTAATGAGAGTCCTGGTGAGTTTATCAAGTTGTATTTGTCTATGAATGGCAATATTACTTTACAACAACACTGTCACTGCTATGACTTGTGACAGTATCCTGCTCTCATTCCTCAATAAGTCTTGATTCAGCACCTTTCACGATGATGACCTTTTGGTGTTTTGCCACATATTTGTATTCCCATAAACGCTTTTTTTTTTAAATTTTGTTTTTATGTCACCTTTATTTATCCAAAACATTTTGCTCAAGATTATAACAATCTTTTGTTTAGCACTGTATCATAATACAATCTTATTGATATGTGTTGCCGTGGGATGGACGGGTTTGTGACGAATATGTTATTTTTCTGTGAGCACTTCTATTTACGAGTTTGTGAAGGCAAGACTCTGTTAAGGAGAGACAGAGAAAAAGCGCATGTAAACAAACACGAGTTTACTGTCTTCCGTGATCCTTGGAAGATGTCACAGTGTATTGTTTTCAAAGTATCATTGAGTGTAGCCTGGCGCAAAGCTTGATAGCGCTACTGTGGCGCCGCAATGACCTCAATAAATCCTCAATATCTAATATCCGAACTACATTTCACATAAGTTTGAACACTTGGCAGACCACTTGAACACATTAAACAGACTCGAGCAGCCACAAACACATTAAAGCTGACCAACTGTCTGTGGTCTGCCTGGAATGGTAAAGTTATTTAACTTGTTTTAAAAAAAAAGATGTACTTTTTTTTTTTTACTTAATTGGTAGCACGATAGGATGCAACCATTGCGTCTTGAAAAAAGGTGGCTTGGAGTGGGAGTAAATGCTACAATATGCGAAACATTTATACCAGTTATCAATTTTTGGCACCTGGGGTGAAAAGGTATTGGTGAAGCTGGCAGTAGCCACCTCTTGCCACCCTGTGAAAAAGCCTATGATTTGATCTCCTTTTTTTTCAAGCACTATGTATCACTCTCAATCTCTAGGCGACAACAGTGACCCGGCCTCACATTTGAGAGCCTTTTCCTTTATGTCTTCCCCAGCCATTTTCTTTGGTAAGCTTGGAGACAAATCAACAGGGGCACATTTATCTCTTCCTGTTCTGTCCACACAAAAGCAGAGCACAAATAGATCCACACTAAGAATTACAAGACTAGAAGCTATAGGACCTGAACCCTAAGAGAAAAGTCGTCAGAAGTGGCTTTTGGCAATGTACTATACAAGTATGTGAAAGAACCTACATTTGTGAGTTTGCATATCATGCGTTAGCTTGTTATAAGTAGGTTGGGAGTCATTTTGGTGCCACTAATTATGGCTGGAGGGTTTGAAATATTCTGTCTGCAATCACGCTGCATTAAACATTCCTTTAAGATTCTGCTAACGGTGCTGGAAATCTTTTGGACTCTGTACTGCTCTGTTGTTCCAAATATTATAATGGCAGTTACAAGTGCATTTGATAACTAACAAAAATGCTTCAAGAGTCATGTACTGGAACTCAAAATGGACTCTTTCGTTCTTTCCCTCTTCTGCAGCTGCAGTCATACATCTTCATAAATCACAGCTAATCCAGCCCCCAGTTGACCCTCACCCTAAAACCTCACAGAACAACAAACAAGACTCCCCCGATCCCCTCTTATCCCATTGCCAAGTTGGATTTTCATCCTGTTTGAAATCTGAAAAGGACTTGGACAACGCCATTGTTTTTCAAGGACAATACCACACAGCCAAGTTCAACAACAGCTCCTCTTGTTTACTGTTGTGATGATTTTACTTCTTAAAAATAAACTGAAAATACATATGTGGTTGGATTTAAAATGGAGCTGAAAATGAGTTTTAAAGACCGCCTCACCAACTGACATTTTAGTCGCCAGCAGATTCATTGAAGCAATTTGAATGACGCGAAGTCTCACCTCCCAGAAGGATCATTGAAAACACCACCCTGTATGCCCGGCATTATAACCAAATACAACAATGCTTGTGTTAGTTCAGTTTCAGTACCTGTCTGGTTTGGTTACCTTTAATTTTGTGAGAAGGAGTGCATTATTCAGTCTTGTTCAGAGTATTAACAATAAAAGGCAAATGTCAGCATGTCAAGTCAACATTGTCCTTTTGCCATTGGTTAACAATGTATTCGATTTAAAAGTAGCACAAAACATATGACTACTTTCTACATGAAGTGAATTGTAGAGAGCGGACTTTGAATGGCAAAGTAACAATAAACACATCAGATCAACCAAACTGGCATTAATTGATGGCATATCTATCATAAATAACTCATTAAACACCATAAAACAATAATGAGCAATCAAGGCAACAGACAAAATTCAGAGGCTTTCAATACCTGATCACCAGTAACTCCGCTACGCACTTTATAGAGTTTACGTGCCGTACGTTGGCTCTCAGGTTTCACATTCACTCCACGTGTCTATTTGTAAAACTGAGACCTATTGTGCAAAGGTTGAAGGAGGCGTGCGCTGCAGCTACTTCCCTGATTAATGAACAACTTGGAAACTAAGGTGTATTCCCTCCCACCTGGTGTTTGTGCTCCTTTCAATGTAGTCGGTGCTGATAGGTTGAATGATGAAAAGGTTTGTGGACACCTCATCATTACACCTTCACAAAATGGAAATTCAGTAGATGAATCAAATATTGCTCTGCCCCCCTGCCCTGTGATTGACTGACCATTAGCCCAGGATGTACGTCACCTTTCATCCAAGGTCAGCTGGGATCAGCTCTAGCTTCCCACAACCCTGAACAGTTTAAATTTATCAAACCTTGGTTCGTGCACTGGAACAGAAAGGGCCTTCCCCATCCTTGGCATGGTGAGGCATTTCCGGGAGTCTAAGATGTCCAGTTGAAAACGCTGACTAGTTGAAAAGTGGGTGCATTCACTTTTGTGCATATTGTGTATGAGCCCATGAGAAGGGGGACCCACGTTGCCTCTTCGGGCTGATCCTGGCCGGGCCCCATGGGTATAGGCCCAGCCACCAGGCGCTCGCCAACAAGCCTCACCTCCAGGCCTGGCTCCAGAGGGGGGCCCTGGTGACCCACGTCCGGGAAAGGGAAACTGAGATCCATTCATTTTATTCATCATAAGGGGTTTTACTATGGGTCGTGACCGAAAGAACAAGATTCCGGATACAAGTGTTTTCTCCGCAGGGTGTCCGGGCTCTCCCTTCGAGATAAGGTGAGAAGCTTGGTCATCCGGGAGCGGCTCAGAGTTGAGCCGCTTCTCCTCCACATCAGGAGGAGCCAGATGAGGTGGCTCGGGCATCTGATTAGGATGTCTCCTGAACGCCTGCCTGGTGAGGTGTTCCGGGCATGTCCAATTGGCAGGAGGCCCTGGGGACAACCCAGGCCATGTTGGAGAGACTATGTCACCCAGCTGGACAGGGAATGCCCCAGGATCCCCGAGAAGAGCTAGAAGAAGTGGCTGGGGAGAGGGAAGTCTGGGCTTCCCTGTTAAAGCTGCTGTCCCCGTACCCCGACCCCGGATAAACGGTAGAAAATGGATGGATGGATGGATGGATGGATGGATGGGTGGAACAAAACGATGTGAGGACAATGTGTGTCGATTGCTACACTGTACTTTGTTGACTGCAATTGTTTCCACTTGTTAATGGCTCTTTGTAAATGTTTTTGGTACTTTGGATATTACTGTTTTCCATTTTCCATTCTTTCCATTTTAGTCTTTATTTTTGTACTTGTTTCATATAATATGCTGTATACACAAGTCAAGCTTTATGTTTACCAGTTTTCTTATTTTCTACTTTTGTTTATACTGAATTCAAATAACGATTTGAGTTGCTCCTTTTATTTTCAGTGTCTGCTTTGGGGTCCAACCGCTTGCATATTTTACATTTGACACCATGTCACTATTTAGTAATTTTCTTGATTCCTCTCACGACTACTTTTCCAAACACGTGGTGAACAATAAATCAAGTAACCCTTGTGGTGTTATTGGAGACACAGTTGTGTATTTTGACTGCTGTTACCATTGTGATAGAGAAATCAACGAACACAATGATATCATGTTTAAAATTTAATTTAATTTCGGGCCTGTCTAGACGTTGGTGTGTATTCAGCGCCCCCAAATGTCTGTGCGCAAGGGTGTCGGGCCTTCTCAGGCGTGCCGAGGTAAAATATCCAATTTGTATGCCTGTGCGGTCTATCGCCCAGAAAGTAATCGTGTAGTAACCTCCCATACCGCTAGGGGGCATCAACAGCTAGCCAATTGCCTTGTGTTTCGACCACGAGAGACAAGCGAATTTGTGCCGCATGAATGCAGTAAGACAGTGAAACAATAAATATGAAAGATTAGAAAATACTTTTTTCTTTGTGCTCATTTGATTCCAATTCAAGCTGTTACAACGTCATTCTTCAATGTTAAAAACGGTTATAGTAATAATATAAAACGTTAATTGTTAAAATAAGCGGATTTTTTTTTTCACATTTTCAGCTAGTGGTGTGCCGCGAGATTTTTTTCAATGAAAGTCGTGTGCCTTGGCTCAAAAAAGTTTGAAAAACATTGTTTTAGAATATCAAAAGAAGGTTTGGGAACTGGTAATAAGTGCCGCGGCCCAGGCGAACATTTGTCATGTGCAAAGTCTGCAACTTCTTTGTTCGTGGGAGGCCAGACATGTGATTCAAATCTTGACAAAAGTTAATCAAATCTCCGACCGAAGGGCCGGACTGGGGGCGTCGTATGCAAATATGGGGGGGCCGTGTTTTTTCTTGTATTTTGCATATGTAAACAATAACAGTTGGACTGGGAGTACGGGATCTTAGAGTGCGATTGGCGGAGCAATTGCCATTGGTTGTTCTGGGAGATTGTCCTTTTGTCGATTGAAAGACAATCTTCCCCGTGTCAAGTCTTTTATTTAAACTTGTCCGGGTAAATCTCTGACACATTGTTAGCTAATGCTAATCCGTTTATTTTTATTTTATTTATTTATTTATTTATTTTTATGAAAGTGCTTCTGTGAATGGCCAGACAGATTTAGGACTCCAGCTGCCCAGTTATGGGCACAGAAATTCAAAGTGGGGGCATTTTTTTGGAAAATGTGCCCCAGTGTTACAAATTAGTACTGTAGAAGTGTTCAAATGCTAGCTCTCACACACATTTTTAGAAATAGATACAAGATTTACTTGGTTGTTTAATTTGAAACTCAATGGGAGGACTCCACACAGTAATCTATTTGTATCCCAACAAAATAGAAGAATTAAACAATTCCATCCATTATCCAGGCTGCTTATCCTCATTAAGATGGACCGGATCCCAGCTGCCCACCCTGAATTGGTTGCCAGCCAATCACTGGGTACTCATATTTCCTTTTATCCTTTATCTTACTCTAAGACCTCATCGATGTGAATGTGAGTGTAATGTGAACGGTAGTTATAGTCTGTTTAATTTAAGGTTTCCAATCACTCGGAACAGGTGAATGGATGACTGAATGTCATTAGCGGTCATTTTCAGAACCTCTTAACAAACAGCAGAGATTACAAACAAAAAATGCGTGCCGGCATCATTCTCAAAACATCATCTTTATCATGTTCACTACAATAAAAAAGTAATTTCCGAGTTTTTTACTTTCCTGCAGCCAGCAGCCACATGGTAGAGGCCAGACTATCGTACACAATTTCAGGATCTTTTGCAGCAGGTGCGAGGGAGAGTGTACAGAAGCTCTTCATAGTTTTGCTACCAAGGGATGTTTGCTATTGCTTCTCTCAAATGTTTGGCTGAGGTCTGAAACCGTGGTCATCTCTGTAAGGAAAGTGGGACAGCTTTGCTGAATCCTCTAAAGGAGGAAATGACAACATGTGTCGCACTGTACAGAACAATAGAGAGGCAGACTTGAGGAAGAGCCATAAAGCAAACAACTCACATTGTGACCATTAAATACCCCCATGAGACCATCTGTATTGATCCAAGTTCCACTCATGTTTTCTTTTTGCCTCCAAAGTGATTTGTATACATTTTTTGAAAATGTATAAGGTGACAGCTTCACATTGTTTGCAATTTTGTTCATTTTGCAAGTCCATATATGGTCTCCATCTGGAAATGTGATAACATGAGCAGGGCAATTTCACATGTGCTTCAAATCTGAACATTTTTGGAAGGAAATAACTAGAAATGTTTCAAACGTTTAAAACCGTTTTCCATCCATCACATAGTGAAATGGTCTTGTTTTTAAAATTGTCAACACATGTACATTGATTAAAATAAAGACTCCAATATCTTTCGCCATAGGAGCCAGGACTAAATAAAACAACAAGGTGATATGTTAGTACAATGTACTCCATTAATTGTGTGTTCTTTCGACTTGAGAAACGTGGCAATGGGTCAATTTCCTTTCCATCCATCAATTTTCTGTTCCATATGCCCTCATTCGGGTTATGTGCGAACTGGGCTTTATGACAGATGATTTTAGGTGACAGGTGGGGTGCATTCTGGACTCGTTGGCAGTCATTCAGGGCACATATACAAAACAACTTTTCATACTAACATTAACACCAACTGCAGTGCTTCTCAGTCATTTTCTGTCACTCACTCCTCGGAAGAAGAAAACCCCAAACTTCTCGCTGCAACTATGATATATAGTACCGTATAATTTTTCTAAAACGGGTGACGTGGTGGACGAGTGGTTCGCGTGTCGACCTCACAGTGCAGAGGTACCGGGTGCATGGGTGGCATGGTGGTCGACTGGTTAGCATGTCTGCCTCACGATTCTGGCCCCAACCTTCCTGTGTGGAATTTGCATGTTCTACCCGTGCCTGTGTGGGTTTTCTCTGGGTACGGTGGTTTCCTCCCACTTTCTGAAACATGTGAGGTAGGTTGATTGGGTGCTAAATTGTCCATAGATGTGACCGTGAGTGTGAATGGTAGTTTGTCTATGTGTGTCCTGCGATTGGCTGACAACCAGTTCAGGATGTATCCCGCCTCCTGCCCGAAAACAACTGAGATAGGCTTCAGCATGACGCGACCATCGTGAGGATAAAGTGGTGACAAAAATATGATAGTTACCCGCATAACACTGTGTCCATTTTAACATTAAAGAAAACAAAAAAGGAAATACTGTCTCGAAAAATTTACAAGAAAGTATACTTAATTAACATTGTTTTTTTAGTCTCTCTCAACCTTTATTTTCATCCCTGTTAAATATTTTTCCATGGTGTCTCTTGGGGGTTTGTTCACTCCACTTCGTGTATCGTTCTCTGTGCTTTGTGTGTGCATATGCTCAGTGCAAAGAAGCCCAACAACTTAAAGCTAATAAAGATAACAAAATCTGACAATGACATTGCCACTAACACCTACTGTAGTGAATGTGCAACTGCACTTTATTTTCATATGGGGGGGGAAAAGAAAAAGTATGTTCCTTGGGGTCACACACGCTCACCCCACTATTTGAGAAGGCAATATAGTGTCTTCAATTAATCTAACATGCACATTCTTGGAATTTGGGAGG